ACACTTAATCAGTAAAATAAAATCAGTAATTAAACAAATGCGAAGCAGTCATTTATTAGCCGCGTTGACATGACAAAGAGTGTCCCTTGGCAGCGGGGCTATCTCTAGGATCAGTCTTAGGCGCCGGGCGATACTCTCTCCCGATGGCTGACCGCACTTATCGCGCATATCAGTGACATTTCTGTCATATAAAAAAACCCGACAACAAATGGAAACTGACATTCGTCAAAGACTAGTGGCGCTGTTTGAAAATCTAGTTATTTCCCTGAACCATGTTTTCCCCAGAACAATTTTTTTTATTAATTTTTTTCAATTAATTTTTACAGTATTTCTCTAAATTCGTTCAGTTCAAACGACTTTAGAGCGTTCAAACAAACATCTTCAAAGCGTATCTCAAACAGTAGTTCGTCAACAGTGTCCACTGCATGTTAATTAATTAATGATATGCCCCCTCAATTTTCGAGGAGCAACTCACTGATTGAGTGAAGTCCGTGCGCAAAGACGTCAGGGGAGAGGGTATCGAGGCGCGCACGAAAKTCCGACGGCTGAAGCCCGAGCCTAGAGTATCTCGGGGACTGTGCAATACAGTAAAAACCCACGTATAAGAACAAGTGGATTAAGAACACCCAGGCCTGATTTTAGGAAAATAAGGTACCATTTATATAAGAACACATTCAGCCTGAAAAAATGAAAGTTGTTCTTATATGGAAAAATATGAAAGATCAACACTACTTTTCATTGCACACATACTAGTAATAKTTCCACCCCAAATATGTAATAAAAATATTAAACAAAACTAAAAATATGTACTGTTATATTGATTTCATTTTTAGTGACTTTCTTAAGAACGCTTAAGAACACTTACGGGCTGATTTTGCAGTTTATACCCTTTATACTAGTCATAGCTACCGCTAAGTGCCAACGAGCAGATGATGTTTTCTAGAAATTGTCATGAAGGGGATTTAGCGCGACATTAAATCAGTTAAATAGACGAAATATGTCACATAATTAGAAACTAAGAAACCAGTATAGCGTCATGTGAAGTTTGTTGTCTTTTCGATCTTATCCTGGATG